TGATTTAACTTCCATAGTAAACCTAAGCCTTAGAGGAAAGCGAAAATCATTAAAAATAGAAAGAGCATGATTAGAGTTTCCTTGATGCAGGTAAAGATTGGACAATAGGAAACATAATAGAATCTAGATAGCTAAAGATAAGCTAAGTAGGGCAATTACGAGCAAATAAATAGGACGACCGGGGTTACCGGCCTTATGAATCTTAGGTAGAAAGTAGACTTGAGAAGTACGTGGAGTGTTACAAATAAAAACAGCAGAAGGAGGTAGAGAACCGTCTGAGATTAAAGAGTTGACGGTGTCCTTAACTGTCTTCATGATTGTCGAGGGTAAAATCCTTATCAACCTTACAGTAAAAATGTTTCTCAGAGAGGCGGTGAGCCTCCTGCTTGTATAGATCGACACCCCAAACAACAACAGCGCCACCTTCGTTCCGACAAGCACTAGACACACACGTAAAGACACTGTTGCCATTTTTTCATTAAGGGTAAGAATTTTAGATGCTTTGGTGAGTTCAAAACACTTTATTTTTCAAGTGTCTGAAGATTAAAATGACAAATATTCAAACTATATTTAAAAAAATAATTGACGATAAATCTATACTACTTTCAGTCAATACTACAATTAAATAGTTCTTTGAAAGTTGAAATTGCATTTTTTAAACTACAGTTGTAACAAATGATTGACCATAAATTCTTTCCATAAATAACACAATGAAAAAAACGCTTTCATTCCCAAAATGTACGCTATTTCTTATTGATGATTTTATAGACACTGAAGTGTAAAAAGACCTTAATAATCAACGCCCAGACGACATTTTGTRAAACAAAGCATTATGGGAGATTTTTGGACCCCCTCAAAAATCTCCCTAAATGCTATTTATGTGTTGTCTTTGAAGAAACAGCAGAGCTGCTTCTATTTTTGTAAGTAAGAACAATTATGGGTTACATAAGATGCAAGGAAACTAACGAACAAGTGCGAGGACTAGAAGTCCCATCATGCTTTGTTGCACGTCAACATTCCCACAATTCCTCATTCTTCATTTCCCATACTTCTTATCGCTCTAAGATAGACCATTTTCTACTTTCAACATTAATTGACTTTCTCAATTTTTTCATCGATACCATGATGCATTTCGCGAAAACACACGTGACGTCAACGGTATGCCTAATAAGGTTATATAATTATTAATATATTAATAATATATCTATTGTTTGATCCAATCAAGTACTTGAGGGGCGAAGTAGGTAATAATGATGTCACCTCCTGAAACAACAAATGACAAATTTCACACMTTGTTYCAACACAGGCAGACCAACCTCATGAAAATATGTGAGATAATAGGACTTTGCATTTAACGGTCACGTKGTAATCMGCCATACTGGATAGCAAAATATTCACTGGGATGTTCAAAACAAAGAAAAGTCAAGCTTGACGGTCTGCGTTCCTTTTGTTTTTGAAGTTGCTTACATTCTTTTGCCATCCAGTATGGCGGGTTAAGTACCATGTGACCGTTCATGCAAAAGGCCTATTATACTATACAAAAAGCCCTCTATTCAAGGTAATCTTCGACTACCTCCTGAGAGGTTAGATGATCAAAAAACTTGAATCTCTACGGCTTTATTATTTTTTTTCGTAGAACTTTTGCTCTAAACTAACCTGCCCTTCTCATTGAAAGCAAACTCTCCATAACGATATCTTGAAGGTCAAAGGCGCCTGCTTTGCTGCCGTGATACAACATGGCGTATTCGCCGGACACCTAAAAAAAATTATACAATCCTTTGCTTAAATCAGCCTAATCTGGAGTCCTTTCCTAAATTAGCATYACGCATTGCATTGTGGTCTAAATTCAGTACAAACAACTTTTGATCATGTGGCCAAATGTGGCGTTGTTTGTAATGAAGCAAGCCCACAATGCATCATGTTTTTTTTCCATTCAAACATCCGCTAATCGCTCATGCACTTTACTTCAATTAATCCTCACACGTGACTCTAACCGCCATTTGGTGTTTTCGTTCTGGTCAATCAAAACTCCGAACATAAAATAACTSTTTCTCACCTCGAAAAAGCCAACAAACGGAGAACTTGTTGAGTTTCGAGTCAGGAGTCTCGAGAGGCTTGATGAAGATTGCAAATTTGTTTGGCGAAACTGAGAGAAACACCAAACAACGTTCAGCACTCGAACGTTGGAGTTTGCAAGTGTCCGTTGGTTAGCAAGATTCTGCATTCATTAGTGGATGGACGAATATCTTTTTTCTTAGACATATAGAGGATATTACGTGGGCGCGCGGAGATACGGATTTCACACATGTATATTCGAGTGTTGAAAAGATCTCTCACGAGTGAGCGTAGCCAACAAAATGGAGAAAAATAGGTATTTTTTAGATAATTATATTAATAATAAAAACCAAAATTAAACATGCATTTACCTGGTATATTGCTAGCGGAATCTCAGGAAACTAGAAGAAAAAAAGGCATTTTGAATATCATTATTTGATTAGTTGATTTGATTTTTTTATTTTATTATTCGATTTTGTAATCATGGCCATGGATTCGTGACGTTACGTCACACAGAGTTTCACTTACTTTGTCTTTGGTCTGTCGGACAATGTCCAGGTAAGCCATTCCTGGTTTAACCATGACCATATCAGCGCCTTCCTGGATATCACGTGCCTGAAAACAAACAGAAGAAAAATAAAAGGTAATAGCTATATCAAAGTCTTAACAACAAACTTTATAGTGGGCTAAATGTTTCGAGGTTGTACTCCAATTTCCGAGCCGTTCAGAGTACAGCGTAAGAGGCGAAGGAGGTTACGTATCGTCACTCTTTGCATATTTAGGCAAGTTCGTCTGCACCTGAAAGTACGTGCAAAATAGCACGTATTTGGTGAAATACGTCAGTTCCTGTTTTATTTTCACTTCAAAAACTCATTAATTATTCATGAGGTATTCAGCCAATCCCTGTTTGTAATTTGTACCACGTGAAGTAACTTGAAACCAGAGGAAGTA